AGAAGTACAGTCCGAATGCTCCTTGGAAGGCAGGTTGGCCAGACTTGGTCACTTAGACTTAGGACATATTATCAGGAGGGACCAGTCCCTGGAGAAGGACATCATGACTGGTAAAGTGGACGGTCAGAGAAAAAGAGGAAGACCCCCAATGAGAGGGATTGGCCAAGTGGCAGCAGCCATGGGATAAAAACTAACAACAATTGTTAGGGTGTCACTGGACCGATCGGGCAGTGTTTTGTTCTGTTGTGCACGGGGTTGCTAGGAGTCGGAACTGATTCAGTGTAAGCTAACAACAAAATATACATATGCATATATAAAGTTTTTAAACTTCATTGTGAACTGCGTGAAGGTTTACAGGGCAGATCATCAGTTTTACACTCAAGAAACCATCCACTTTGTTTCATTGCAATGACTGTAAACCCTACATTGTAACCTTGCTTCTCTGGCTTCGTGTGTTTCCTGTCTCCATTCCTCTTTCTTCACCCACTCTTGTGACCTTTGTCTTTGGGTGAATGCTGCCCTTTCCCTCTTAAATGCTTGGGGTGGACACAGCTGTGTGGATACAGCAGTATTTTCGTTATTTCTGTGGGTTATTAATGATCTGAATGATCACAGGGGCCTAAATTGGCTGTTGGCTGGAGCCTGTCTCCCACAACTGTTTGGGTGGGAGTCAACAAGGGTTACCAACCTTGTTAATTTTTTTGTTGTTACGGGCCACAAAGTCAGTTCTCTCTCGTTTACATGGTTTCTTTCTGAGACCGCCAACCTTGTGGTCAAAGTCCAGTGTTTATCATATGGAACCTCCATGTGCCAAGATTTTTTATTTTAAATGGATCTCTTATTTTTAAAGCAATTAATTTTGTTATTGCTGTTTAGGACATGAGGAGGCTTCATCAATGTCATGGAAAATTCTAGGCTCTTTCAGTTCCAGTTTACCACAAAGTTTTTGAACCCTCTGGGTACACACAGCAGAACACACACCAATTCAACAGTTTCTTTCCGGACCATTCGATGAATTTGATGACATTCTCACCCTGTACACCCATCCTCACCCTCCCTTGCTGAACCCTAGCCCCCCACCCCTCTCTCGTTACCCCATTTAGCCTCCTGAGTTACTGCTGTGAGCTTCTTAAAAGCAATCCTAGTGTGGCGGTCCTTGGGAACCCCATACAGGATCGCTATGAGTCAGAAGGGACTTAACAACAACAAAGTTGTTAAAAGAGCACAGTGCGCAAAGCAGACATTCTTTACTAGTTAAGTTGAACGATTCTTTGGTTTTGAGCTGACTTCGGGGAGCATTTTTGGCTTAAGGTTTAAAGGTTTTCTCAGTGCAATAGGAGTTCTTCCAACCTCCACGGCTCCAGAGTGGCTGGATTCCCAGGAGATTTTGAAATTCTCTCCCACACTTTCTCCCTTTTGATCAGAATCACTCTTCAGACCCTTTAATTTACTGCAGTATTATTGACAATCTGTCAATCTGTCAGTAAACGGTTTTCTCTAAAGCAGGTCCAGAACTCTAAAATTGATTCCAGTGAAAATCTCACCCTCCCTTTCTGCACGAGTCCATCCCCGTGAACCTTCGGAGGCCTTTACTCAGCAGCTACGCCACACACGTTTCCATTTATTATAAACGGCATAGGGATTTTGTGTTGGTGGTGGAGTCAGAAAAAGAACTGGGGGAATGAGAAAGAGACAAAAAGTAGTAACAGTAGTTGGATGTGATCTGGAAACATGTTACAAGAAAAGGGAAACCGCAAACCAGGTTTAGAGGAAACACAGTAGCGGTGAACTTTGTAACTTGGTTTTTAAAGTTCTGATTCTCAAACACAAGTGATTTAAAAGGTGAGCTTGACTCAACTTTTAAAAAGTTGAATCTTCATTCGGGTTGTGGGTGACACTGATTTATTGGGGACATGTGGACACAGGATGAATGTGCTTGCTAGAATCCAGGACATCGGGCAGGTGGTTAGCTCTGGACCTCCACAACCGTCAAGAAAATCGGTTACAGGTAAATAAATGCTTGTTGATATAGGAAAATTGGCTACCTTTATATCTTATTTATAATCTTAGTCATTTTTTTTTTTTTTGCCTTCTTCTTGTAACTTTCCTTCCTCTAGTGACAAAATGTAACCATGGTTGGTGTAGACTTCTCGCTTTCCACACAAATGAGCTGGGTTCGAGTTCCGGCCAGTGTGCCTCATATACGGCCGCCTCTGAGCCATCCGTGGAGGCTGGTGTGTGCCTGTGATGCTGGACACGTTTCAGTGGAGATTCCAGAGTAAGAGTGATGAGAAAGGCCTGGTGATCTGCTTCTGAAAATCAGCCCGTGGGAACCCACCACAGTCCGATTGTGGAGATGGCACAGGAATGAGCAGCCTTTTGTCGTGCTGTGTGTGGGGTGGTCATCAATGGGCAGCTAACACTATACTGTGGCTGTTGTTAAGTGCTGCCAAGTCAGTTTCCACTCATAGTGACCCTGTATAGGGTTTCCAAGGAGCAGCTGGTGAGTTTGAACCGCCAACCTTGTGTGGTTCCGTGTTTTATCCCACAGCACCACACAGGAAACTACTGTTGTTGCGAGGTGCCATCAAGTCAGCACCAACTCATGATGACCCCGTGCACAGCAGAAGGAAACACTGCCTGGTCCTGGGTCAACCTCACAATCGCTGCTACACTTGAGCCTACTGCTGCTACCACTGGGCCAATCCATCTCGGTGGGGGCCTCTCTCTTTTTCTCCGATCCTCCACTTTACCAAGCATGATGTCCTTCTCCAAGGACTGGTCCCTCCTGACAATATGTCCGAAGCATGAGTGACCAAGTCTGGCCATCCTGGCCTCCAAAGAGCACTCCAACACAGATCTGTTTGTTCTTTTGGCAGCCTGTGGTACTTTTAATATTCTCCCCCAACACGCTAACTCAAATGCATCAATTGTTTTATGGTCTTTTATTCATTGTCTAACTTTCACATGCCTATGAGTCTAATGAAAATACCATGGCTTGGGTCAGGCGCACCTTCGTCCTCAAACTGACATGTTTGCTCTTCAACACTTTAAAAAGGTCTTGTGCAGCAGATTTGCCTAATGCAATACATCCTTTGATTTCTTCACTGCTGCTTCCATGAGTGTTGATGGTTGATCCAAGTAAAATGAAGTCCTTGACTTCAGTCATTGTTCCATTGATAAGAATGTTTTTATTAGTCCACTGGTGAGGACCTTTCCTTCCTTCCTTCCTCCCTCTCTCTCTCTTTTCCTGTGACTTAACTTTTAAGTGTTGTTCCTAATGGGCTTGGTGGAAGATTACCTGTGGTGTTTGGCTGTACCTGTAATTGACGTCTTGTAGTGAGGTCTCCTTTACTCATTGGAGACATGATGCACCATTGCATAACAGAAACAGACACTTTGTAATCATCATCTAGGGTAACAACCACATCTCTCTGAGAAAGCAGCTCTGGAAACTTACACAAGGAAATCCTTCCAACGTCAGGGGTGGACTCTTAGCTGGGAGAGCCCTTGGCTGCTTAAGCTCGCTTTGATCTCTGTGCCTGCATGCACTCTGATCCCTCATGAGTGTGTGTGTGGTTACGAGGCTCCCTTAACCCTGGTCTTAATCTCCTTTGGAGTGAGGACAGAGTGAGAAAGAGGGCAGGCTAGGCTCCACCAGGCTGTCCCCTTCCCGCCCCCTCGCTCCACCGCATTTGGATTTTTGTTTGTTTACATTGAGGTGCAACCCATACTGAAGGCTGTGTTCTACTGTGAATTTACAAATGACCCCATCACCTCATCATCATCTTCGGCCCTTGCCTCCACATATACTGGTACTGACACACGCACGTCTGCACGCAGGATGGAGCCAGTGAGCAAGAGCGGAACTAAGTATTTGAGGGGCGGGGCCTGTGAGCGTGGGCGGAGCCTGAGCATTTGTGGGGCGGGGCCTGCGAGTATGTGCGGAGCATGACCTGAACAACCCAGGTGCGGGGACTTGGCAGTCCTCAGGGTGGGGCCTTAATGTCCAGTGTGGGGCAGAGCCTGAACACCCATGGGGAGGGGTCTATGAACGCCCAGGGGGTGGGGCCTGGAATTGGGAAGGTAGGGCATTATTGTCCATGCCTGTTCACGACAGCCCAACACCCGTGGTGCACAAATGTGCCATTAGGGACTCGTCAGGGGTCCTACCACAGGGAGCGGGGATGCGGATCCGCCAGCGCCTTGTGTCAGGGCCCGGTCCCTCTGCTGTGCGGCTGCACGCTGTCCACTGGCACTCCCTGGTCCATCCTCGCAGGGAGGGGCAGCCGGTGAAGGCTCCTCGGGCCTACACCCACCTCTGGGTCAGCTCGTCCATTCCCTCATTAACATCCACGCTGATGTCGCATCCAAGGCTCGTCCATAGGCGTCCCCCAGGGCCCAGGAGAGAATTCTGCATCCTCCACTGCCAAATGACGGGTCCAGGTGATGACACCAACGGCGGATGAGGGGCCGAGGAGCTGCTCCCCAGTATGTCCAACACCATAACCCAGGGAGCCCCAAGATCAGGAGTCTCCACGTACAGGAGGGCTGACCATCCTGTCCGCCTGTGTCCCTGGGCCCGTGGCCTGGGCTGGGCGGCAGATACCGACTTGGACGGGGCCCACCATCCCATTATAACAGGGGCTGCCTCGGTGAACGAACACTTAGCGGGGGCGTGGGTCCCACGCTCGGCCAGTGGAGGATCCACCCGTGTAAACGACAGGCCTGAGGCACCAAGGCAGGGGCCAGTGGACACAGAGGGCGGGCGTCCGCGAAGACTCGGGCCACGCCACCCAAAAGCACGCTGACAGCTCAGTGTTGAATAAATAAAAATTTCTATTCGTACAAATGCAGACGTTGGGGGGAGGGGGGGCCTAATGTTTCTTCAAAGACAGTCCAACGGCTAGACACAGTTTGTTGTGTCTGTCTGTCCGGAGCAGAGGCCGGGTCTCTGCCCAGCTGACCGACTGTCTGTCATTCCCTACCCACCCCTATAGTCACAGCAGCTGCGAACTGTCCTCATCCTCAAAGTCGTATAGGTCCACGGCGCCCAGTGCAGAGGGCGCTTCCAGGAAGGGCCGCACGTCCAACTGTGGGTGCAGCTTGGGGTCCACGGGGCTGAGCTCGGGCTCAAAGCTGCAAGAGAGGAGCTGTGAGCATACAGAGGGGACTGGCCGTGAGGCAGGTGCTGAGAGGGGGCTCGTGTGAGCAGATAGGTCCCAACCACGTGGGGGGATCGACCCGTGTGACCACAGACGGAACCCAATCACGTACCCACGTGACCACGTTGGGGGGGGGGCAGGAGGTGGGGTGGACGCGTGTGAGCACAGCCAGGCCCCTATGGCGGCGGGAACATGGGGAGACAATGGTGAGGGAAGTGGAGGGCAGAGACGAGGGTTTATCTCCACAAGGCAGAGTGGAGTACATGGGGCCGCTACGAATTAGAGCTAACTGAACTACACATCCCAAGAAACACAGACGTATAACAAGGCTGTAAGATGCGACCTCAGGGGACAAGGACCTGCTTGGAGGTCAGCACACTGAGCATCTAACCTGGTTTTGGTTGCTAAGTACCAGTCAGCAGTCTTATGCATACCAGGAGGAGACACTGAGCAGCCCGAGCCGACCTCACAATTGTTAAACTCGAGCTGACTGCAGCTGTTGCCATGGTGCCTGTCCATCTCCTTGGGCTCTCGCGCTAGTTTGCTGACCCTCCACTTTTCCGCCCTAATGAAGTGTCAGTGGAGGAAGGACCAGAACACTCTGGAATTGTGACCGCCCCCTACCTCGCACCGTACCTGAAAAACGGACTCAAGATGACTACAGAGGAGACGGGACTCCCGGACGGACGTCTCTGTGACTGTGGCTGAGGCAGCCATGTCTTCAATTGAAGACACAAAACCACAGTGGGTGAGAACCACCTGGTGAGGTCAGTGCCCTGCATCCGAGCTGGGAGCGGCTGCCGTGGGCAGGGCGGGCTGGAGCAGGACCCCCCAGGCACACAGCGGGCCCGGGCCCGGGTATGAATCGTGCCTCTACCTACCCCTCGTTCCATGGCTCCCCGACAGCCTCTTCCGCCACGAGGATGTCGTACTCCTCGGCTGCGTACCTCTCCCAGTCCGAGAGCTCCGGGCTGTCACCATCACTGTCCTGGATGAGATGGGCCAGTCAGAGTGGCCAAGGCCGCGGCGCACGGGGACCCACACCGCCGACGCTCACCTTGAGCAGGGATACCTGCTCCTTCTGCTCCCGGTCCAGGTACTTCTCAATGTTGAAGAAGGTGTCGAAGAAAACACCTGCCATTTTGCACCTCTTCAGGTCATGGAGGGTAATCTTTCCTGCAGGGAACACGCACCGGAGCTGAGAGGCCCTGGGTGTGCCTCACAGGGCAGCAGGTTCCACATGGACACCCGGGGTGGGCCCTGGGCAGGGACACATACCTCACACCTGAGCTCTGGGGCGGGACCATTCCCCCCATCTCTGTGGCCCCGCCTACCTAGGCTCTGGGGCGGAACCACTCCCACCCCCCACCCTCATTCCCCACAGGCCCCGCCCACCTGAGCTCTGGGGCGGGACCACTCCTCCCCTCCATCTCTGCGGCCCCGCCCACCTGGGCTCTGGGGCTGGACCACTCCCTCCTCCCCTCCATCTCTGTGGCTCCGCCCACCTGGGCTCTGGGGCTGGACCAGGTCCAGCATCTGGCAGAGGCAATCCTGGAAGGGCAGGGCCTCGATGGCCATGTTGTCCAGGCGGCGGCATTGCTCCTCATAGAAGTACTCGAGCTCATACATGGACAGGGCCCCGTCCCCGTCCAGGTCCATGCAGCGAAACCAGTACTCGATGCTGAGCCCACCAGGCCACGGGTGAGGAAGAAAAGTCAGACATGGCACACACCACATACGGCCTGGACACGCATCACCATGTTCACACACCCACAGACCTGCCTGCACACATGCCTTGTGCACACCTATACCTGTCGGTGCAACCCACATTTCAGATGGGCCACACATCACACAGACGCTGCCCCTGTGTGAGCAGAATGTCCTCACACACTGCCCCCTACAGTCACACCTGTGGTAGGGGATCATCCTCACCCTGTACACACACTGCCCCCTACAGTCACACCTGTGGGAAGAGACCGTCCTCACCCTGTACACACACTGCCCCCTACAGTCACACCTGTGGGAGGTGACCATCCTCACCGTGTACACACACTGCTCCCTACAGTCACACCTGTGGGAGGGGACCGTCCCTCACACCTGCACACACCTGGTGGGGGTCTTCTTGTCCTCCTCCGAGATGAGGAACCAGACGAAGTCGGCGTAGCTTATCTTGCCTTCCTTCTGCACCTTCCTGCCTCTGGGCCAGGCCGGGGAGTGAGGGTGGACAATCAGCTAGCGTCGGCTCCCACCCCTCACCTGGCTCCCCTCTCCCTCAAGCAAACATCACGGAGTCTGACCCTCCCGACGTGTGCACATGGCATCTACATCACAGCGCTCCTGGAGGCTCAGCCCCGCAACCCAGGGGATCCAGCACTGAGGGGCCCCTGACATGGCTGCCCAGGATGGGGCTCACCCTCGGGGAGAGGTCGGCACGGTGCACGCACCTGGTCACCGCCCCTGAGAAGATCCGCTCTACCATCCTCGTGGATATGGCTGCAAGTCAAGGAAGGAATCAAACCCAGCGATCGACCCAGCCTGCTGAGCCAGCCCGGGCGGGGCTTGGTGTGTGGCGGGGCTTGGTGTGTGGCGGGGCTTGGTGTGTGGCAGGGCCTGCTGTAGGGCGGCCGGTGGACAGAGGTGCTGCCCGATCCTGGCGCCCGATGGCGTTTTGTCCCCTCTGCTGTCCCCGAACAGAAAAGTGTCTAGGGGGCCTGAGATGCCGGGTGATGTATAAGCAGCATGACACACTCACGTCACTGTGTGTGAATGACTGCCCGCCTTCACTGCGATGGGAGGGAAGTACATTTGATGGAAACACGAGCAGGTGAGAGAGGCACCTACGGACATGCCCTTCCCCTGCCCCCAGGACCATCGGGGCAGACCCCAGTCCTCAGTGACCTCTTAGGCCAGATCCGAGAACAGTAGAGTCGGCCCCCCACCTCTGTAGGCCCACAACCAGGAAGGACAAGGGGTCAGGGGTCAGCTGTGGCTCAGAGGTCAGGGACCCAGGTGTGCTGTATTTGTACAGGGGAGACTCAGGTGTTCCCGGGCACAGCCCCCTGGCGCCTCACCGTGGTCATTGTGCCGGGCCAGGTCGTCGGGGTCAATGAGCAGGTCGTGGTCTGTATCGATCTCCCAGAACTTGCAGTAGATGACGTAGAAGTGCTCGTAGGAGAAGAACTCCGTCAGCTGGTTGATGTCTGCCTCTTCCTCCAGCAGAGCTACATTCTGGGGGTGCAGGGGGGTGGGATGTGGGTACCGGGCGGCAGTGTGAGGCAGGAAGTCGTGTGTGACTGAGGACTTAGATGGACGGCAATGTGCTGGGACGGGACTGACCAGGGTATGGATGGGAGGGACTTAGGGCGAGTAGTGTGGTCACGCATCCAGAACCCCCCCACTGGGTCCCCGAGTGTCCACAGGACACATCTCCTCGGGCCCCCATCCCCCTATACCTGCAGGAAGGAGCTTTTCCTGAGCTCTGTGCACGTGATGCGCCCTGACCAGGACCGGTTCACAGTGTAGAAAATCCGCTGAATGACCTGGTGGAGGGGGACACCGTGAGGAGGAGGGGACACCGTGAGGAGGAGGGGATGCTATGAAGAGGAGGGGACACTGTGAGGAGGAAGGGACACTGTGAGGAGGAGGGGACATTGTGAGGAGGAGGGGACACCGTGAGGAGGAAGGGACACCGTGAGGAGGAGGGGACACTATGAGGAGGGGGGACACTATGAGGAGGAGGGGGCACCGTGAGGAGGAGGGGACACTGTGAGGAGGAAGGGACACTGTGAGGAGGGGGGACACTAGGAGCAGGAGGGGGCACTGTGAGGAGGGGGCTCTCAGGGAGCAGGTCCAGGTGGGTCCAGAGGTCAGAGGGACCAGTCGGGGGTCTCCCAACCCTATTCCTGATAGAAACCACAGAAGGGAGGGAGCTGGAGCATGTGTGGGGGACACTGACTGAGAGGAACTCAGGGACCAAGCAGGTGGGGGAAAGGGGACAGAGGGTCACGTACAGGCCCTCAGGACAAAGGCCTCTTCTCAGCCGGGACTCCAGTCTCCCTAGAAACTAGCTGTCCATGTTTAACTCTGGTGGGGTCTCAAGACACCGGGAGGTTCGCTGTGTCTGGACCCACACACAAGACACTGGGGTCCCACTGGCACCCCCAGACAGGGATCAGAGCTGCCGTCACCAGAGGCTGCAGGTGACAACTTGGGGCCCCAGGTGGCATCCTCAGTAGAGGACAGGCGTCCTTCACCAGGTCCTTTGGGGAAGGACCTTTCTGAAAGGTGCCTGAGGACCAGCGGGCAGGTACTCACGGTGGTGATGTAGCGGGAATGGAACTCGGACGCCTCCTTCAGGAAGGACAGACCCGGGTGTGTGTTCACCACATCCTACATCAGAGGGAGGAGGGGACTCAGGGGTGTAGACAGAGGGAGGAGGGGACTCAGGGGTGTAGAAGGAGGGAGGGGGATACTCGGGTGTAGACAGAGGAAGGAGGAGGAGGGGACTCAGGAATGTAGATGGAGGGAGGTGGGCAGATCTGAAAGCCCATCTCTCAGTGGTTTCTCAGGTGAGACATGGGAATGCCCAAAGTGGGATCTAACACAAAGTCCTTAAAATTTTTGCTGTGAGCAGAAGATGCTTCCTTGGGGCGTGGCCTGCCTCCCTA